ACCTCAGTCTCAGAGAATGAGCTTAGCAGTATAAGAAAATTCTGGGGGTCTTGTCCTCATGTGCAGAAGTTCTTAGGTTGCTTCCAGGGTGAGGAGGGATACTGGCAAGACCCGGACAGGATAAGGGCCTGTCAAAAGCAGAATTGCCTAGCCAAAGGCACCCTCAAGATGAGGTTGGAAAGCTTATGGCTTAGGTGGGGCAAATGGCCCCAGGCTCTCCTGCCCTCTGCCCTGCAGCGCCCTCTATTGCTGCAAAAAGGCCAAACACACCTGGCCTGCCAAGGAAGGGGAGATGACCAGAGTCAGCCTTGGGAGTCTGAGGGGGAAAGATACTTGCCCCGCCTAGGGACCATTTCTTCTCCACAGAGTAGATGAGGGCCAGGAGGACAAGGATGTCAGCCTCGGTCTCCTTTATCTCCCCACAGGTCCAGGTCCTTCTCTACTACCTGCAGCACCCCCCCATCTCCTTTGCAGAACTGAAGCGGAACACACTGTATTTCTCCACCGACGTGTAGCCCAAGGTGGGGGCAGCTGTGGGGGGTTGGCCAGAGCCAGCCTCTCCAGCCAGGGGCCTAACACAGACTTGAAAGACTGCAATAGAAAACTCCCAGACCCAGCACTCCAGACTCCAAGGGAAGCAGACTCCCAAGAACTGGAATATGTGCATCTTTTGTGCCACCTTGTACAAAGCCAGCTGACCAGCCCCCAGCCTCACCGCCACACCCTGGGCTCCTGCCCTCTGTACCTCTCGTTGTGTCTAATGCCCTGTGCTGTTTGGGAATTGTTTTATGTATATTTGTCATGCAGAAAAGGTAGTGACCGACCTGGTGTGGGCACACAGATGGCCTGCTTTGTTCTTTCATTTCCTCCATCACTTTCTTTCCTCCTGAGTCCAGTCCAAAGGCTTTTACTTTGCGCTGTATAACTGCTGCCAGCTTCCCCTCTCTTGGCCCTGCTCCCAGATTGCAGTCTCCTGGCAGCCTCCCTTCAGTCTCCTCCATCCTCCTCCTGCCCAGCCTGCCCGCATGCATGTGCAGCTTCGGTTTTTGCTCCATCACCTCGAGAGCTCTGAAGAGGTCCCTGGTGGCAATGGCAGTGGCAGTGGTAGCCCATCTGCTGCTGCCACCTGCTGCCCTGGTCCCCTCCTTGCCCCCACCTGTGGAAGTACATTTGCTTTGCCTTGCTGCCTGTGCAAATGTTGGACAAAGAGACAGACTCACACTAATCCTCAGCTTAGCACAGAGCTGGAGAGCTCATTTCTGGAATTTTCCACTTGAGAATCTACATTTCTGGGGGTGTATCTGCTCTGTTTCCTGCCTATCAGTGAGGCATCTTTGACTGTTTCTTCTACTGCTTTTCAGTTCCTTTTCCCTTGGTGTTCTATTTCCTTTGAGCGTAAAGACTCACAGGTGACCTGCTATCAAGACAGCCAGAGAGGAGAGAATCTGAGGGGAGGCGGGAGTCAAGCTGCTGAGGACACAGACGGGGAGAGCAGTCAGAGGCACGGAAGCAGCACAGGTGTCCTGAGCCGTGGGGGCACACTTTTACAGCATGTCGTCCTGGCTTTTCTAGTGGAGCCCAGGCTTCCTGGAGGGCAGCTAATATGGCTGAAGCAGGTGTTCAGAAACAGGCAGGCTCCACCCAGGAGGCCACCTGGCACCTCAGTACCTCGTGGTGTTCTTGCCTTAGATTTTACACATATTCTCCACAACCAAGCACTGCCACGGGGCAGCCGCACTGCCACGTGTACTCCAGGATCTGGGAAAGAAAGGCAGTCCAGTAGCCAGCTGTCATGGTGCTGTCCCCATCTTGCCCCTGACTTCTGGATGTAGTTTTTGAGTAAATTCTGGGAAACTCCAGAAGCTGGGGGAGGACAAGGAATCACTGGCACCTGCATCTCTTAGGACCAGGTTTGCAAGGGCCCTCCTTGTTGACACGGTATTCCAGAGTAGGGGATCAGCAGGTTCAAGTCCCAACTTTAAGACCCACTGCTTAGTACTGGAAAGGAGTATTTCCAAAGCGCAGTTTCCCTCTGAGCAGCAACTGCCACCTGTAGCAATCAGACTATGAGGGCAGATATTCCCAGGGATAGGGACTTCAGCTACAGCACAGCTCTTGGGCTCTTGCATGTGGCAGAGCAGATTCTAGGCCCTCGGGACTGGGGAGAACAGCTCCCACTGCCATACTCAGGGCTGAGTCTTGAAGAAGGGCCTCCTGCCCCAAACTGTAGCACATGCTCAGTGAGGCAGGGCCCTCTCTGACCCTGTTTGCACCTGTTGTCTCTGGCAAAACAGTATACTGTGCACATCGAAGGAAAGAAATGCTAAGAGGAACAACAAACCACCCAGCTGCCAGTTAACAGCTTAGCAAGGTGCTCTGCTCCCTGGGACAAGGAGGTAAAGGGGAAATAATGCCACTTCAACTTAAATCCAGCATCTGGCCACTCCTGAGGTCTGCTGTCTGGTGTTGGTGTGTGGCATGGAAGGCTTTTGCTTGCTTCCAAAGTAATTGACAGTGATGAATTAGTGGCCCAATTAGAGCTAGTTACATCCCAAACTGGGTGCCTTCCACCTCCTAAATGAGGAATGTTTGCTTCTCAGCATCAGGGAGCCCTGCAGCCCACAAGCTTGCTTAGGCAATGTGAGAACAGGAGCAAGGCTGGAAGGGCCGAGAAATGCAAAAAGGCTCTTATTTATAAATTTTACCCCCAGAGTTGTGGGGGGGTCAGGTTCCAGACCTGGACTGAGTGGTACCAAGGAAACACCTGGTAGAATCTGAGACAGGGACTGTGCAGCCCAGAACGCCTAGTCAATTTGCCCAGCAGGGTGGGCTGTGCCAAGGGAGCCCAGGATGGGCCACAGCTCTCCCAGCTATGCCAGTCCTCACTGGGCAACAGCTGACGGCTGCCAGGTTTGGCTGATACAGGTAGGATGGGACCCTTCATTAATATTTGACTTTAATAAGTTGGTAAGGATATATTTTTTTTGTCTATGTTCTGTTTCAATTTATGTAGATTATTATAAATTGATGTAAACCATGTGAGAAGAAAATGTTAATAAAAAAATGCAAAGCCCCAACATTTGCACAAAACTCAACCCTGTGGTGTAGATGTTTGTGTTCTTGGTAGTTCAGGGAAGACCACCAATCTAAATATTTAACTCTTCCAGCTGCATCCAGATGGGAGTTTCCAGGAATTTATTTACCTAGTTCATTCCCCTTGAGCCTCCCCTTTGGCCCATGGGACAAGGGTAGAGTGCCAGGGAGATGAGCCCACGCCCTGTCCTTGCTCTTCGCAGAGGCCTTCAGGTCAAGCTAGCAAAACCAGTGAGGGAGCTTCTGGTCCCACTTTCTGTATTTGCTGCTCCAGTTCCTTCCACCAAGTACAGATGTCCCCCTAGGAACCTGGCCATCAGTGTGCTATGGAGAGATGGCATGAAGAGGAAGCTGCTTATTTTATGTAAACTCTTCTCTACATTTTCCTTGGAAGTGGCACATCTTGGGGCAGCCTTTAGCCTAATCTGCTTGTTGGAGAAGCTGGATCCCCCAGAGGGCCCACCCTCCCTTTGAGAGAGCTGGAGTGGGGGGGTTAATGTAGCTTCCTTCCAGCCTAAGCCATTGGACACTGAGTTTATTCTGGAGATCAGGAACAGATGTCTCTGAAAATTGCTGTTTGGTTTATGAGCTCATGCTGGCTCCCTAGCCATCTAAAACAGGAAACTATTCATCTCCTCTCTTGATTGAATGGTCAATGTGGACAATGCTTGGCTTATTGAACTAATGGCTACTGACAGCCTCTGGGCTCATCTTTCCCAAGGCAGTTGTGAGGGCAGCATTTCTTCTGTTCAGTGCCATGTGCTAGATGACAGACGATTCCAGGCAACTGAGGAGTATTTTGACAGTACCAGGTAGGAGTATCTGGCTGCCCTTGTTTCAGAATGCTGATAGGTGTGATGCATTTAGGAACAGCAGAGGAAACACTCTTAAATTTGTTCTTGGAGCTCTAGTCAATGCTCCAACTGGCCTACTGGTGAGAAAGCCTCATGGCTATGAAACTGGGAGGGACATTATATAGAATTCACCATAGAGGGACAGGAGCCCTGTGCACTGGCTCATAGTTATTCCAAGGAAACAGCTGACACAGCCAGAAGAAGGTATTACCAGCTGGGTTTGACATCATCACTCACATACAAATTAACACTTGGGATGCCAGACCATTTAAGCTGAGTCTTTGAATTCTGATTAATAGTGGGTGGGCTAGAAGACAGAGCAGATGAGTAAAAAAGCAAGATAAGGCAGAGGAATTACTGTGCAGTAGATAAAAGGAGACCCAATACCACTAGCTAAAGGTGGCCAGCATTACATGGCCCCGATGAAGCCTACCTGCCTGCCCTCCACCCAAGAGCAAAACCCTGCATTCATCAACTTTATCTCTCCACCAAAGCAGTGCCTGTGGTGAAGCCCAACTGTGAACAGCTTTTTTTTTTTTTTACCTATAGCACACAATTAGGCTGAATTGGTATTGTCAGAAAAAGACTGTAAGGTCAAGTCGAAAAGATTAATGTGTTAGAAAAACACAGGAGAGCAGGGTGGTGTGAACATTCCCTTCTACGACATCTGATCTTAGCCAGAAGCTGTTGCAATTAAGTCACAAGATGCCAACAGCACGACTCTTCACACTTATGTCCTAGAGCTGGTTCTGGATCAGTGGTCAGAGCATGAAACCAATGTGTGGTTCAGCACACTGCAGCCATGCCTATCAGCCAGCCCACAGGAGGGCTTTTCAGAAGAGGCCAATAGGGCTTCCACCCAGAATGTCAATCCTAGGAAGGGGCTAGGCTAGGTTTCTTGGGGGAGAGGCCCTGGCCGATGTAATGATCCTGGGGAGGATAACACATTCCTCTATAAACCCAAGCTTTCTCTTTCCCTTTGGATGTTCAATCTTTGAGCCACCTGGCACTCTTTCTGGAATTGTGGAATTTAAAATTAAAAATAAACCAACCTTTTGAACTATAATATATATGTATTTTTAACAAGGGTGGCAGAATGCTAAACAAACGACATAATTGGTTGGGTGGCATAAATTTACCTTACCCTTCCCTGGTATTGGAGATGAATGACTGCATGAAGTTCCAAGGTAGAACAGCTTCCTGGGTATACACTAAGATGCAGTCGCCTTTGGCCCACAACCAAACAACCTAGAGGGCCTGCTGTGGTCAGAACTGAACCTTTTGTGGAGCTTAATTCCTACACGTCAACACATTGTCCTCTGATCTGCTCTAAGGAGAGAGTCTGACTTGGCGCATCTCCTGTCAGGCTTAGCTGGAGTCCAGGAGCAGGAGAGTGTGGCTGTTCTGAAGGCTGGAGGCAGAAAGCAGCCTGGCGGCTCCCTCACATCACCAACTATGTGAGGGAAAACAATGTCTTCAGTCCCTTAAGCAAAGGCCTTGGAGCACTGCACAAACTGTCCTCCAGAGAACAGCTCTGATCCCGCGCTGGTGTCATCCTTCCCCACAGGCAATTACTCTCACCGCAGGTAATAATCAATTGCAGCAGAGAAAGCAGCAAAACCTCCACAACCAATGGCCCCAGCCTTTAAACCAGCTGTAAAGCAAACAGAAGTAATATTACCTATGGTGACAGCTGCTGGGTCAGGCTGCATTCATGAAAGGTTTGCGCATCCACAGATGTGAAGATAAAAAGAAAAAAAAAATACCCAGCCCACCATAGCTCTCTAAGACTTCAGTGAAAAAAAAAGAAAGACTTCAGTGAAGCAAAGCAAAAGCATATGATTTAATTCAGTGTGCTTTATCTGTACATTTATCTTGCTTTTCCTATGTAAAATTAAAATTTCTAGTTTTATGGAAATAGCCCCACATTGGCAGGAAACTGGTTAAGAGAACCAGCCCTTGGAATCAAATGAAAGCATATGGCCTTTTACCCTGATTTGTTTATGGAATAAATTCCTGGGAAGGTGATCAAAGCTGTCCTGGAAAGAGCCGAGTTTCTCAAGGAGGCCCTGACAAAGCTGGGTAATAGGAAGACCAAGAGAAGTTACTTTACAAACTTGAAATGGCTATTTGATGAGCATAAGCAGCAAATCAAATCAGCAAATCTCAGAAAATGAGAAAACAGGCTTTCTGCTCTGGGTAAATCAGGGCCTGACAGTGCCCAGGAATAAACACTACTGCTGCTTAGAAAGTCAGGTCACTGAGGTCCCACACCCCACATTTGTGATGGACATGCCAACAGGGAGAAGAGGCAAGGAACTGATTTCTTTCTTTGTTGTTTATCTAATAATCTAACACTTCTAGAATATTTGTACTTGGCTTTCTTTTTCTTTAATTGAGACAGAGTCTAACTTTGTCACCCTTGATAGAGTGCCATGGCGTCACAGCTCACAACAACCTCAAACTCTTGGGCTCAACCAATTCTCTTGCCTCAGCCTCCGGAGTAGCTAGGACTACAGACACCCACCACAACGCCCGGCTATTTTTTTTGTTTGTTTAGCAGGCCTGGGCCAGGTTCGAACCCACCAGCCCCAGAGCATGTGGCCAGTACCCTAACCACTGAGCTATGGGAGCCCTGTACTTGGCTAGAAAGCTAAGAATTCTCAACTGCAGAAAGATATTACCATTACCATTTTTTTTAAAGAGACAGTCTTACTTGTCGCCCTTGGTAGAGTGCCATGGCGTCACAGCTCATAGCAACCTCCAGCTCTTGGGCTTAGGAAATTCTCTTGCCTTAGCCTCCCGAGTAGCTGGGACTACAGGCACCTGCCACAACGCCCAGCTATTTTGTTGTTGCAGTTTGGCCGGGGCTGGGTTCAAACCTGCCACCCTCAGTATATGGGGCCCGCACCTTACTCACTGAGCCACAGACACCACCCACCATTACCATTTATATGCAAAAATTGAAACTGACAACTGTCTAGAATTATTTTTAAAAATCCCTAAAGCAAAAAATGCATAGTCTATGTGGCTACCCAGGGCTGAATGGACCTATCCATGCTTCCATGCACCCCTGCATACCAACATACTCCAGGGATTACTCATTGTGGGAATTTTCCCATATTCAATATCAGGTCAGCTCTTTTTTCTAAGATAGATCTAGAGCAGTGGTTCTTACTTGGACATGATGCAGGGATATTCTGACAACTTCAGAGACTCTGACAGTTGTCCAAACTGAAGGCGTGCTATTAGGTCTGGTGGGTAGAGGCAAGGATGCTCCTAACCATCTTAGGGAACATAATACAGACCCAATTCAACAAAGATTAATCTGGTCCAAAATGTCAACAGCACCAAAGTTAAGAAAACCAGATCTAGATACTAGCAAGTTTCCAAAACTGAGTTAACATAGAAATGAACATGATTTATTTGTCAGAGGGAAGAATATCAAGTGTCCCTGGACCACTTGTGTTTGGAAATGGCAACTTTAGCACATTGTCCAAGGCCACAAAGGGAAACCATTTGAGAGACGTTTACTAACCTCTGAAACCAATGGCTCCTCCAGTGATGCAGCCACTAATGACACTGTTCTTCCAATCTGATTTTCCCCGGTACTGTGGGTGGAGAAGTGCAATTTAGAGCCAAAGAAACAAGCCAAACAGGATGATTAAGGAAAAATACACAGGGTTTCTAGTTAGCTAATTTAGTCCCTACTCAAAGGAAACCTAATCTCTTTCAAAACTATAGTTCCCAAAATTCAAATGTGTTCATAAATGCTTCCTGAAGGTGGCATCAGAATGCCAAAACCAAGTAGAGGATGTGAGACGTAAACAAAATTTCTTCTAGGGCTCTCCAATAAGTCTCATGTTTAAAATCATTAACTTTGGCCAGTGAGGTGGCTCACACCTATAATCCCAGCACTCTGGGAGGCCAAGGTGGGTGGACTGCTTGAGCTCACGAGTTCGAGGCCAGCTATAGCAAGAGTGAGACTATGTCTCTAATAGTAGCTGGGCATTGTGGTGGACACCTGTAGTCCCAGCCACTTGAGAGGCTGAGGCAAGAGGATCGCTTGAACCCAAGAATTTGAGGTTGCTGTGAGCTATGATGCCATAGCACTCTACTCAACGTGACCAAGTGAAACTCTGTCTCCACCAAAAAAAATGAAATCATTAACTTTGCCTACAAAATGTTAAGAAATAATATAACTCCATATTATAAAGACAAGGTATACTTTAGGGACTGTTTTAGGGAAGTTCAATCTAGAACACATCTGATGTTTCTAATCTGCTTTCTAACACCATTAAGACCACTTCCCTTTAAAAGTCATGAGACAGCAGCAGGCAAAGATTTCTCAGAAGGCAGATATACTTACAGATTCTACCAAACACTCAGTACAAGAAAACATGGCACCCACGATGGCAAAATTTTTGGCATAGGACATTCCTCTCTGCCCCATGTCTTTAAGAACTTCTTTTGCAGTCGGTGTTCGGTAAGGGTCCTTAGGGTCAAAGCCTACGTTGGTATCAATGCCAGCGGTAAACACCCCAAATGCACCTCCCAAGACAAATCCTATAAGCAAACACAGAGATATGAAGATTTCTTTGACTCATTTCCTGGATTACTGCAGTGGGATCACGCTGAAAAGGATCATACTTTTGGGTGGCCACCAGTACAGAGCACATCCCTCCCTTGTCACTCCCTTGCCAACTCTCCATTTGCCTGGTTTCCACAGGACACAATCCAGGGTCCATCTTCTCAACAGCATCTTGCCTGTATCCTCTTAGATTTCTTCTTCCTTTCATTTCCCAACATTTCTCAAGATTCCAGCTTTAACCCTCTGCTCTTTCTATACTCTCGCATATGTAATCCAGCTACTCTCAAGTTTAGCCATGAACTTTGCACTCTTGGTCATGGTGACATTCATAACAGGCATTTAGTAAGCACCATGCACCAGATACTGTACTCTGGTGCTTTATAGTCACTGCCTCATTTATTCTTTACAATAATCCTGTGAGGTAGATGCTATTATCCTCTCCTTTCTACAGACGAAGAATCCAAGATTCAGAGAGGTCCAATAACTTTCCCCAAGGTCACACAGCTATTAAATGGCAAATCCCACATGGCTACCTACATCTGACCTTCCTGAAGCCTGCTATACCCTTCATATAAATGCCCTCTCATTACCTCATGGTCAATATGAGTTCAATGAAATAATAGTACATCCCCTCAAGACTTTTCTCCTTATTTATGGCTCCTCTTTCCAGTCACTCCAGCTCCAAACCTTATGAGCACTTCTGTTTCTTTGGTTCCCTCTACAATTAGTCCATTGTGAAAGATGGTGAAATCTTTCACCTTAGTTTTTCAAGTATGTCCATCCCTGACTATGTTCACAATTACCATCCTACTCTATAGCCTTTATCACTTTAACCCTGAAGCACTACAAAGACTCTGTTCATTTCAACATAAGTTCATTTCAACATAAGTGATTTATTAGGGTCAGGTACAATGATGAACAAAGACCCAGTTCATTCCCTCAGTCTAGCAAACTTCCAATATGACTTTCCCATTCACAGATTTTTCATTCTTTTTTTTTTTTTTTTTTTTTGAGACAGAGCCTCAAGCTGTCCCCCTGGGTAGAGTGCCGTGGCATTACAGCTCACAGCAACCTCCAACTCCTGGGCTCAAGCGAGTCTCTTGCCTCCGCCTCCCAAGTAGCTGGGACTACAGGCGCCCGCCACAACGCCCGGCTATTTTTTGGTTGTAGCCGTCATTGTTGTTTGGCGGGTCCGGGCTGGGGATTCGAACCCGCCACCTTAGGTGTACGTGGCTGGCACCTTAGCCGGTTGAGCTATAGGTGCCAAGCCAGATTTGGATTTTTCATTCTTTTACCACTCCCTTGATTCATCATGTTCATTACCAATTGTTACTCTTCTATAAAAAAGAAAATCATTACTGCCCTAATGCCTATAAGCAAAAAGCCCAAATCCCCCACTCCACCCTAACTTAAAATGACACTTCTCTTCTTTGTTTATGTGTACGTTCTCAATCCTTCAAGCTACAGCTGCAGGCTCCCCTCTTCTGTGGCCTTCCACAGCCAAAAACCTACTCTTTCTTTTTTTTCCTATGCTTCACTTTTTTTCATTTGCACTCTCACTATATTCATTACTTAAAATTCTTTTATTCGCAATAAGATTTAAACTCATCCACAAATGTGGTCATCTCCTTTATCCTGCACACAGGAGAACACTGTCCATTCTCAAATGGTCCTAAGGCTTAAGAAAAGGTTAAAAAAAAAAAATGGTCCAGAGGTCATGGCTCATGCCTGTAATCCCAGCACTTTGGGAGGCAGAGGGAGGACTGTTTGAGCCAGAAGTCTGATACTACATTAAGCAAAGTGGCAAAATCCAGTCTTTGCAAAAAAGAAAAAGAATTAGCTGTGTGGTGGCATGCACTCCTGCGACCCAGCTACTCAGGAGGCTGAAGCTGGGGAGTCACTTGAGACCAGAAGTTCAAGGCTCCAGTGAGCTGTGATTGTGCCACTACAGCACTCCGGCCTGGGTGACAGAATGAGACTCTCTCTCTCAAACAGAACAAAAACAACCCCCCTCCCATCAAGCAAACAAAAAGAAAAAAGAGAGAGAGAGAGAAAGGGAGGAGAATAAAGCCGGGTCCTGACTTCATTCCCTACTTGCTTGCCTCTTCTAATCACACTGGCCTTTCTGCTTTTCAAACCTCAAGGCAGTTGCTACCTTAAGGACCTTTGAATTTGCAGTTCCCCATGTCTGCCGCACTCTTCTGCGGGGTTCCTTCTCAACATGCTTCTCTATATAGTAAAATATTAGCTTTATGAGAACAAGGCTCTTGTCTTTCGCCCAGTATTCTCACAGTCTGGCACTTAACAGATGCTTAGTAACGACTCGTTGAATGAATAATTACTAAAGTAAATGAATGAGTGAAGTCAACCATTTTATAACCTCTTGGCCCCAACCTTAGTACCAATTGTCTGATCCAATCTCCACTTGCGAAAGCTGACCTTAGAGACAGGAGAGACACTGCACTGATCGAGGCGGAGGTGTAGTAAGGTCGCGGTTCCCTTGCCTCTCAGATGCGTGGTCTTCTGGCAGAGAACCCCGCTGCCGTCCACGCCCTCAGCCTCCCGAGGGCCCCACGCGCCTCGCCTCACCTCCCACGCAGGCCAGGGCAGTCTTGAAAGCGCAGCTTTCCATCGCTTTCTCGATCATCTTCTGCTCTTCACTCTTGGCAGGGCTCGGGATCCCGCCCAGAATCCCAGGATCCAGGAGCCGAGGCTGACGTTTGTCACCCACCAGGTGTTGCAGAAGAAGGCTGTACTGCAGCGGGGCTTCGGCTGCACCTGCCGCCTCCGGAGCTGAGGCCCCAGCATTGGGGGCGGCCGCCGCCATGACGGTAGCTGCCCAGGCAACCCTCGCGTCTTCCCGCAGCAGATTCGTCAAGCTTCACGTTAGTGCTCTGAGAGGTGAGCCAGAGTACCTCAACAGCAGATTCGCCATGGCGAGTATGCTGTGGAAGCAAAAGTGGGTCTGTGCACACCGGCGGCGAGAGCTAGTACATGTCCTAAAAGCGTCTTGTGAAAACTGGATTAGGTTTGTATAGCTTTTCCCATGGCACAAACAAGATTCAGATTCGTCAGACCGCCACTGCAGCGCGGTGTGTACCGGGATTTGTAGTTCTAACCCGATCATCCAACTACACTTCCCAGGAAGCCTTGCGCGTGCTCGCGTGCCTCGACCTGATCTGGAGTTTTTGTAGCTCCGCTTGAGGGTGGGTGAAGAGAGGTGATGCCCTCGCGAGGCTGCAATGCTCCAGGGTGTCGGCAGAGGGCGCGCACGCATTACCACTGCCGTTCCAGCCTGAAACTGGACCGAGGTGGTGAGGGGCTGTGGCCTACCTTCCTTGAAGATTGCATGAGCTACGATGGAAAGTGCTTAGAAGATAAACGTGAAAGCGTGCGGTAAGTGTATGCAATAAATGCTTTGCTCAATAATTAAGGCTTTGAAGAGAAAGAAGAGCCACAAATGAGTGAACAAATGAATGAAGTTCTCCAAGGGTAAGAAATAGCAGGAACGGGTATGGGAAGTGGAAGTGACTGTGGCTAGAACTCACCCCAGCAGCCACTTGTCAATGAAACTACTGATGTGAGACTAGTATTACCATAAAAAGCCAAATATATAGGCCAGGCATGGTGGCTCACGCCGGTAATCCTAGCACTCTGGATGGCTTAAGTGGGTGGATTGCTTGAGCTCACAGGTTTGAGACCAGCCTGAGCAAGAGCGAGACCCTGTCTCTAAAAATAGCCGAGCGTTGTGGCAGGCACCTGTAGTCCCAGCTCCTTGGGAGGCTGAGGCAAGAAAATCGCTTAAACCCAAGAGTTTGAAGTTCCTGTGAGCTATGATGTTACAACACTCAACTGAGGGTGACAAAGTAAGACTCGGTCTCAAAAAAAAAAAGGAAGGTGGTGAGGGTACTGGTCGTCACAGGCAGAGATGCTTCTTTGGAGTCCAAAGCTCTCTATGCTGCCACGCCTAAAGGCACATTATTCACCCTGCTTCTACTCCCACAGGCCCCTGAATGAGCTATTCCTAAGTTTCCATTGACTTCCAATGTGTCAAGTCTAATTCACACCACATTTTGCTAGACTTGTCAGCTGCATTTGACACTGTTGACTTCCTCCCTCCTTCTCTGACGTTTCTTCACAGCTTTGGTGGAGTCCCGTCTCCTAGTGTTGTGACAGCCCTCCAGTTGCTCTTTTCAGACTTCCTCGCAGGCACCTCTGCCTGCCCCTGTCTTGTTGGTCCTTTCAGGGCTTTATCCTCTAGGCTCTTGTTCGCAGGCCGCTCACTCTACTTGCACAGTCACACCCCCATCCACTACCTCTAATCCAGTAGTAACTTTTAAATCTTTACCTCCAGTTTGGACCTTCCACATAAGCACAAGAATCAGACATTTCTCAGAGGCATCTCCAACTCCACTCGCCCTGCCAACCACCCTGTCCTTCAGGTAAACAAGGGCCTGCCACTCTGATTCATGCTGAGATCTTAAGAGCCAACATTAGATTTGAGAAAAGCCCCCCCAGGCTAGTCCCAGGTAAGGCAGCCTTGAGAAGCAAAGGATGGCCTAAACAGCTATTCTGTGGGACCAGAGAGGGCAATAACCAAACCCAAAAGGAAAGGGAAGTTCCAAGTTACAAGGTAGAGAAACTCTCTTTGGCAAAGGTACATGGGGGAGGGGGACTTTTCTGGAACTTCTTCCTTGGCCGGACCAAGGATGGGGAGGGAACAGATACTGATCTGCTATCTTCCTCCTTGCATCTCCTTCCATAGATGGAATAGGTTTCACCTAACGGAAAACTTGAACATCTTCAAGTATATCCTGAAAGTAAGAAGTGGTTTCCCATGTCTGTTTCTCTGGGCTGAACCTGTGCCAGAGGCCTAGGGATTTTATCTGACCACAGCATCAATGGGAGTCCTGCAGCTCTCATGTTACAGATAAGCTTTCCACCCCGGGTTGTCTGCTCTGGCAGTAAGGATATGGGGTTGGAACAGCATCTCACTGGGTCAGAGGGAACAGGGGAACAGTTAAGGATGAGTGAGAGTTACAACGTGGGTTGTAGGAAAGGTTAGAAGACTGAGTGGATGACCCATCCCTTGAAGGACCCCAGTGGTGGCACAGAGGGGTGGTATGCTGAACTGGGGGAGGGTCCCTGAGACCCCAGCCAGCCTGCAGTTCTCTCAGGTGCTGTCTGGCTGTTGGTATGTCACTCGATCCCAGGAGTGAAAGAAATAGCACAGATGGAGATGGGCTGAGGAAGTCCAAGTTGAGAAGTGCAGTGTGTCTTATGTGGATTTGAGTTGAATCTGGTAACAGTGAGTAGTTTCAGTGGGCGTATAAGTAGTAGGAAGTATGGTCACGTAGATACTGAGTAGCCAACAGATTTACTGTGGACCAGCGATTTTCTTTCTTTTTTTTTTTGTAGAGTCTCACTTTATCATCTTTGGTAGAGTACTGTGGCATCACAGTTCACAGCACCCTCCAATTCCTGGGCTTAGGTGATTCTCTTGTCCCAGCCTCCCAAGTAGCTGGAACTATAGGTGCCAGCCACAATGCCCAGCTGTGTTTTTTTTTTTGTTGTTGCAGTTTGACCAGGGCCAGGTTTGAACCCGCCACCCTCGGTATATGGGGCCGGCGCCACAGGTGCTGAGCCAACCAGCGATTTTCAGTCAGTGTGCCATGGCACACTGGTATGCCATGAGAGGATCTTAGGTGAAAATTTGTAAAGACTATTAATTAAATTATTTCCAAAAGAAGTTCAAGGCACAGTAAGTATTTTCTTTTTTTATCAACATAATTTAAGGGTGCTGTGGAACTTTAACCATAGGTTCAAGTGTGCCATGAGATTAAAAAGGATTGAAAAAATACTTCTGTAGACAGTGGGTGTTGGACAAGTGACTTTGTATTTTAAGGGCCTCAATATCCTCCAAAACCAGACAATAACTGGGAGCTGAATTAGGCAGCTGAGACACTCAAGAAAGAATATATTAATGTCAAGTGTAGGACTCTGAGAAGGTGACTGCATCCCCCAGCATCACCAGGAGGGCTTCATGCTCATGTGAGAAGTATAGAATGGAGGTGCAATCCAAGGATGTTTAGGAATCAAGAGTTGGTCCAATCCTCATGCCACCTGTCAGATGTGGTCCCATAAGGCCTCATAGGACCACCTGAAGCCCTGCACACCTGAGTCCTCTGCCATTCCACTTGCCCCTCCTTAATATCCTAAGACATTAAGTTAGCTTATTACTTGATAATATTTAATATGTATATAATATTTTTCAGTGCCTCACTTAAAAGAGTGATTGGAAATCACTTACATTGGAAACAATTTCATTCTAACAGTTTGGATTTTAAGAAAGGAAGTTAAGTCACCCCACTTCTTGGAAACAGTGGTCAAGGCATGTGCAATGAAAGAAGCTTTGTCCCTCCCTCCAAGTTCTCTGCTGTCTGGACCTCTGAAGCAAAAGAAACAAAATAAACCTTTGGGGCGGTGCCTGTGGCTCAGTGAGTAGGGTGCTGGCCCCATATACCAAGGGTGGTGGGTTCAAACCCGGCCCCGGCCAAATTGCAACAACAACAAAATAGCTAGGTGTTGTGGCAGGCGCCTGTAGTTCCAGCTACTCAGGAGGCTGAGGCAAGAGAATCGCCTAAGCCCAAGAGCTGGAGGTTGCTGTGAGCTGTGATGCTACAGGACTGTACCGAGGGTGGTATAATGAGACTCTGTCTCGTGGGGGGTGGGGGGGAAGGCCTGGAGGCCAGTCAGGTGGAGATGAACTTTTCTAGGAATGACACACAGGAGTTCAGCACCACCATGGCCACAGCACAGGCCAGGCAAGTATTTTTTGTTTCAACTTTTTTAGCTCCCTACAGCTGAGTCACCTGTCACTCGAGAGTACCGCCGATCTGCAGGGAACGCTGGCAGGTAGGCCTCTGGTCAGACAGCAGAGTGAAATCCTGGCTGCATCGGACCCCTCAGGCATTGCTGCCTCCTTGGCATCAGAAGAGTTTGTGAGATTTCCAACAGCACAAGGACACTGGATGCTGAGGCCAACCTGGATTTTAAGGGAAAACTCCCATCCCTCCGTCCCTCTATCCTTCCCAAGAGAAGAGGCTTTGGCACAAGCTCAAGCTGGGCTCTCTGAAGGCTGAGGAGTCAGCACTCATGAATGAGGGGTTGGCAGACTGTGAACTGGGAGCAAAAAGACTGACGCCTCGAGCCCCAGTGGAGGTTGGCTCAGAAAACAAGAAACAGCCTGAAGCCCCATTGGGGGCAATCAACAGGAAACTCAGATCCCCCCAAATAGGCTCCTGAGTGAGGTCAGAGGAACAGATTTGAAAGGCAGGTTAGAGGGGCACGTAAGAGGGCATAGCTGCTATTGGGCACCCACTGGTGGCAGCAGTTATCAGGTTCTAGTGTACAAGTGAACCTGATGGAGAATTTAGTTTACACCTCAACCCTGCCCTCCCTGAGCGTCCTATGTGGGTAAATGGTGTTTCCACGCACGTTAGTCTTCTTGGTGTTCTTCCTGCTCACCCACACCCCCCCCCAAATATCTTCAAACACATTCCTTCCTTTCTGCACACATTGCCTTTGCGTGGACTTACGTCATTTCTTAATTAACAGACTCTTAACTGATGTTTATGCCTCCTACCTTGCTCTTTTCCAAACCAGGCAGAGAATGATCTTTCAACACACAACTGTGATCGTGCCCCCTGTTCTGAATGCTACTTCATGCCAGGATAAAAATCTAAACTCAATGTGTTGCTTTTACAACTTCTGCCCGGGAAGACACAGATGCTAAGATCTAAGTTTAGTTCTTATTTGAACATTCCCATTCCCAGTTCTCTGCTCCCAATATTCTCTTTTGGATCTAGAAATGATAACTCAGAATTATTCTCTACCCTGTGCATTCTTTAGT